GTGTCAGGTTTTACATGGAGTGGCTTAGTATTTGTGGTGTTGTTAAAAAATGTTGAGGGCACGACTGAGTGTATGCATATGTGTAAGACAAGGAGTTAAGATCACACCAGTCGTGCTGACACAGCAGCAAGACCAGCAGGCTAATTTACTTACACTGTAGCAAGGGCTTTAGAATGAATTGATTTGTCATCGGCAGGCCTGCACTATATTTCCTAAGTCATTCTTCATGTTATAAACTGGTAGCCACAGATTATATTTATCTGCCTTAGGTTTGTTGTGTCTGCCCTAAACTAAATAGAACCACAACAGGGTAATTCCATCATTCAAGTTCGAGTTGCATCATTGGCAGGAGGGTGTGGATGGACATCTGTAAGAGGAGGCAGGATAGTTCCTTCACTGTTGCCATTGCTTATTGCACAGTAAAGCATGACATTTGACTTGGTTATTACAGGAGAAAAGGGAGCTGGAAACACAATCTCCACTCCACAAAGCTGGGCGATGTGGACTGAAGGCTCAGTGTCGCTCGCAGCTGTAAACACAAACAGTGCTGCACGCTGGGAGATAAATGCCAACAATAAATAACATCCACTGGCTATGCGTGGGAAGTGTGTAGTGTATATGTGTGTGTTTAAATGCGCTTAAGTGTGCCATTCTGGCTTGGTGTCTAAGTGTGTCTGGGGTTGTTTTGTAATACAACTTTACTGTCAAGTCTCGCTGTGGTCAGTGTTACCAGGCAGGTAATTGCATTGGAGGCCATGAATAATGTGAAGGGAGAGAGAAAAGGATGGTGGATGGTGGTTGCTGTCAGACGAAGGGGGCAGCTGATGCAAAATCCACCACACCATTTGCTTTGAATTAACCTGCTGGAGCTGTGATATCACAAAATCATGAGATCACGCGAGAATCCATGTTGCACGGCTTAAAGCTATGCACTTGTGTTTGAACCACAGTGGTTTAGACCAATCAGCATCCTTTGAGGAACTTCTGGCACCTATGGTATGAGTTTTAGGTGTGGTTTAACACTAGGTGTGTTAGAAGACGACAATGGTGGCCGCTAAAGATATTAGCATGGATGCTGCTAGCATTAGTTACATCAGAACTGGAGAGTATTTCTTCATTGAAAGAACTTTAAACTTTCCTTGATGGAAAAGATGTTTTTGCTCTTCTCCCAACTGGCCTAAACTGAAAGTACCTAACCCAAACCCTCCATTTGGGTTATGGCATTCCTTATTCTGTCTTTATGTCAGATGAACTCATTCTCCATTTACTTTCACCTCTAATGAGCAAAGGTGTGAAGACACAAGCTCTCAGAAATCATCCATAAAGTTATCTAAAGACCACAAAGCACTGAGTCACTATTCATATGCATGCATATTCTGGGATTTCAACAATGTCTCACACAAGTCTTTGTACCTGCTCATAACAGCCCCCTCTGATGATAAAAGTCATGTAATAACCTCCGAACCCGTAGGGGGCAGCAATATTTCTGATTTCCTCCCTTTAGTTAGTTTAGTTCCCTGTTTCAAACTCCCAGAGCTGTCAAGTGAAAGAACAGCACAGCATACAGTGACTTTGTTCGCAGAGCCATTGATCTGTGCATCCTACTGTGGGTCTTAAGGGTTCAAGTTTTCAACTTTTAGAAAGAACTCTCTCTGTATGTCTCTGCTCATCTCTCCCCTCACGTTTTAATGAACATGTCTTATAACCTGAAGGTCAAAGGGTTAATCCCATACAACCAAACATGTACAACACAACAGAGAACCAGAGAGGCGAAATATAATATATAATTCTAAAATACTGTATTATTATGGATGGTGAAGGTTTAAGAGAGGAAAAATGAAAGGGCAGGCTTATTAGTGATGAGTTCAATGTTTGGTAAAGGTTAAAGCTGCTCTACTTCTCTGATACAACATAATGTATCTGTCTGAAAATGTCTATTGATACCCTTGAAATAAAAAAGGAGAGGTAACCAGACAGACAAAGACAGGGGGAAATCACAGAGGCAACGCCCCACTCTGCTCTATTGCCAGTTAACCTTTTCACTTCCCAGCAAGTACATATTTATTGAAAGCTATCGAGAGCGAGTGCTATTGCTACTGAAAGCATGTCAAAATACCCCCTGACCGTGGTAATTAAAGACGCAACACAAATTTGCTTGGAGGGTAAATGAATCTCTCTGGGGGCCGCGTGCAGTGCGCCTGGCATACAATAAGACATCGAAACAAAAGGAGACGTGGAGGGGTTTTCACCGCTGACATTAAACATCAGCAGGCAAATGTCAACTAGACAAAAAAAAGCTCTCTTTTTTCTATTTTCATCTATGTCCCGCCACTGTGTGTGTGTGTGTGTGTGTTTAAGACTATACATCTTTGAGAGATGCCTGTGGTTTTCTGGCATGTCACTCACGCTACAATTTAAAACATCATTGCATTGTCATTGAGGGAATTATGTGAATGACAGCACATGAATGCTTGTCCATACTGTATGTGTTTATGTGTGTCCTGGCAAAGTGTGTATTTAGTATATATGCATGCGCACACCCTCACTCACCCATCCAGAGCGTGTGACAGAGGAGGCAATTACCAACCGTGCTTTGCCTCCGTGCTTTATTTGCAATAACTGTCATCGGCAGAGCCTTGGCCTCTTTATCTGATTTTTATGAACATACTTGTAAGGATTATTGAGATTTGTGAAAGCACTGCTGGGAAATGTGAAAGTGTGCGAGAGAACAAGGAAAAGAGAACAGTGAGGGAGAGAGTAGCAAAATGCTAATCTGACGTGTAAAGCGATGAAATATTAACTAGTAGTCTCTCACAGCATGTAGAAGTTGGTCCAAAGACAGAGAAAAAAAACAAAAACAAGAAGAGATTATTAGACAGTGTTTCCATGATGGGCTTTTTCTCATCGCGTCATGCCTGAGGAGCTAAGAAAGTGTAGCCATCAAACTCTCATGCCACACCGCTCATGAGTTGACAGCCCAGGGGCAGCCGTGCATTTTTTAAAACTCCTAGCAGCATCATTCACCTGCTGTCATGGCTGCTGAGAACAGGTATGAATCAGTTTACTACATGCCTCTAGTTAGAGTGTTGGCTGTAGTGGTTGAACAGCCATTGAGTTTGATGCCTCAGCTGCCAGTAGACCTTTTTCCCAGCAGCAATTTTGACATGAAATAGTAGGGTAAACACAGGTGTTACCAATGATACAATTAAGGTTCTGTTCCATTTTAGTGTAGCAGAGCCTTTCCAGATGCACAATAGCGTCGCTCACTCTGTTTGACCTGAATGGATCAGAACCTTAATTAATATAATTGGTAACACCTGTGTTTACCCTACTATTTCATGTCAAAAGGGCTGCTGGGAAAAAGGTCTATAAGATCATGTACAATCACATTAGGTTGTCTTTATCCTTTTAACACCAATGGCATGTTTTAAGATTGTATAATTTAAATCTTAAAGAGTTCTTTAATACAAGCAGGAATAAAATACGAGCCCATGTGCCACTATATGAATGTTAAAATGAAAGTAAAGCTGTAGACTGATTAAAGTGGAGCTATGTCTGGGGGTGGTGCGTTTCTAACAGGAGAAACAGCACATTAGCAGAGTAAAATGTGTCTCAGAGGGGCCATTACTCTACAGGTTGAACAGCTCCTATGGCGGGGTTAACAGCCCGGGTGCCAGGCTGTGTATTAAGGGTAGGAGTGTGGTTGGCACCAGGGGCCCCTGGACTGCCAGGGTGCTGTGACACCCGAGCCTGCTGTCAGAGCGACTGAGCGCAGGCTGGACGAGGGCAGTAGCCTCACCATCTGTTGCACGACAGCCAAAGTCACCCTGCATGTAGGCTGTGTGACTGAATGTTCATGTGTGCGAGTGTGTGTGGGAATATGTCCAAAGTTCTATTTGTGTCTGCTCGCACATCACTTGAGGGTATCTGTGTATGCGTGTACTGGTGTGTCTGTGTGTCTCTTAAAAGCTGTAATTGTGCATCATTGTGCACATCACTTGCTCTCATTTGAGTGCGTGTGTGTGTGTGTGCTTATGCCCATAGCTGTATCTGTGTCTCTTTGTACCCATTCCATGTAGTTAACTGTGTGTTTATTCATCAGTGTGTGTTTGTGTGTCTGGGGTTAGCTGTGTACCTAAACCTGTCTACCCTAACACTTGGGGAACTGTATATTAATGTGCTTCCCGACTCATTCTGTTGGGGTTACTGAGGGTGGCTGGTGAAAATTTAGGTGCATATGGACACCACTGCAGCTTTTAGGCAGATCTGCATCTGTAATGTATCAAATTCAGTATCCCCTTAAAATTAAAATGTTGACATGTATTTCACAGACATTTTAGCCATAAATCCTTCTACTTTTTTATTATAAGCTAGGTCTAGGTGCTATATAACCATCCAAGTAGGATACGAAAAACAAAAATACAAAAACAATGGTCTTCTGGAAAAAACAGTCAACAAATCAGAAGAGAGGCTCATTAATATTAATGAAACACAACACCAGACTCCTTGTTCTTGCTAGAGCTCCAGAGAGAAGTGTGAATGAGGAGATGGTTTTTGATCCTTAAAACCACAAATATTCTGGATATTAAAACTTCAAATTAAACACCAGAACAGTGTCAAATATAGGATCCTTAAGGAATAATATTGACAGAACACAACAATGTAAATATTGCAGTGCAGAGAAAATGGTTGCACATTTAGTGACCTTTTTCCATGTTCCTATCATATCACTTTGGTTGATTCCCAATTAACTATAATATTAATAATACTATTAATATTATAACTACCAGAGTTCTGAGAAAATCCCAGTTTTCCTCAATAAAAAGGGGTCCAGAAGTGAGAATAGGATAATAGGGTACAAGTCTCCTCTAGTATGAAATATACAACTTGTTAAGAAATGGAAGTATTCAGAGGTGTTGCAATCAACTATTAAAGTGAAGTCTTATTTTCTAAGTGGGAAAGCAGGAGGTTATACAGTGGGGAGCTGGCGGGGCACTGACCACTTCTCTGGGCAGCAGGGAGTCCTCTTGGCGAATCACCAACAGGTTCACAGTCCCACCCATGGGCGTGGCTCGGAGCAGGGCCACCACCTCTTCCTGGCTCTTACCATTCAGGTCCACTCCACTAACCTGCACACACAATCATAAATACTCAGATAAGCACATACATAACAGGCAAAAATGAATGTACACACAGATACACACACACTCAGCAGTAAAACTAGAATCAAAGAGCTCTCTGACTTCAATGAGGGGGAATCTATGGCCTCTGCATAACCTTTGTGCAGATTACCCTATGAGCCAGTTGGAGCTAGAATTAAATATGGGTTATTTCCCCCTAAAGTGAGCACTAGCTGATTTTCATGTCAGTCTGATTGAAGTATAATCAAAATATTGTTACATCTAATCACTTTTACTCAGCAATTCAAAACTGTAGCTGAATTGTTATAGCCATAGGGAACACAGTATGTTTGACTCATTCCCACAAAAGCTCTGCAAGATTGAATTTTAGAACAAAACCATATCGGCAAAAGAGTAATTAGTCTGTGAAATAACATACAATCTCACAGAACACATTCTTTAACCAATATAATGGTTAGAGAGTTAGAAAGTGCTGCCCCACCTCCAGCAGCCGGTCTCCAGCTTTTAATCTGCCATCTTGGATTGCGGCCCCTCGAGGAAGGATGTTTTTGACATAAATGGGAGCACTGCCACCAATGGGGACGTCTCTGGAAGTGATGCTGAACCCAAGACCCTCTGGACCTAGGAAAAGGTAAATACAAAACAAATGAATACAGTTAGAAATACGTGATATTTTTCTCATTCCTACTGGCTACTGGCCAGGTCAACGGTTCCTTACATAACATCCATCCTTGACACTTCAGTGTCTTGCTCAAGGACATTTCATTAGGCAAGTTTTGCTAGCAAGGGTGCAGGAACCTGGGCAGTAAAACTGAAAGACTGTCAGCCTACATGCTCATGCTCATGCTCTTGTGCTTTGCTACCACAGAAATATCCCTGGTTTACAGCCTTGTGGAACCTGTATCGCTCTGAACGGGGAGAAGTAAATAATGTGCATGTGTTTATGTTTTGTAAAGAGTTCCAGCACCTCCATATGAGTTCACAAATGTCAACGCAAAAGGTTTGTTTCTCCAGGTAAGCATTTAATTTTCTTGCTTTCATTTAAAAAAGTCACATCACTAATAGCCAACCAATCAATACTATACAATAACTGTGGTAATAAAAATAGTGAAATATAACTAAACTTTTTTGTCCTTATATGTATATTTTGAATCCCATTATAGTTACTTCTAATGAAAGACAGAAAAGAACCTAAATATGTTGAGCCAAACTATCAAAGTGCCTTGACAGAGACTCTTAGTAACAGGCCAGACTCTTAAAACCCTTTCTGAAAGATCCTTTTCATTACATGCTGCTGTAACATGAGTAACCACTACGCAGGGATCAAATTATGGTTTTCCACCATGTTCTGAACCTCCTATAGTTAATACAAACATACTTACTTCCTTTCTGACATTTTTAATTGGTTTGCCATCAGGGTGTGTCTCACTCAGGTTTTTTAGGAAATATAAATGAAAAAATGTCCCTAACTTTAAATATAACGTCAATGCTATGAACCAAAATTGAGTGTTTATGATGAGTGCGTGTGGACTGTAAAGCCACTCTTGCAAGTTATGGTCGGATTAAAGACCGGTTATGGACCAGAATAAGCAGAGAGAAGTGAATGATTATGGATTGCAGAGTGCATCAAAATGTCGTTCAATAGCCTTAAAATGTAGTGCACTACACCTAAATAGCAAAATGCTGTTTTCTAAATCATCCATGTACTATTTGCCAGATGTTTAAACCAAAAAACCCTTCAGACTTCTTGGTACAACGGCAGGTCAGGAGGCTGTGTTCAAATCATGTCTGGGTCAAGTTAGCCTTCTACTATATATAGATAGTTTAAAGTTTGCATAATGTAGAAAGCAGTGCTCATTATGTGTTCAATAAAAGTAGTTTCTTACTGATGTATCATTGAGCAAGAGCTACATGCCTTTTTGAAGCACATTGAGAGGTAAGGTTAAATTCCACAGCTGAATCTGAGAAAACACTTCAGATATCAGCTGTGTAAAGCCATTTGGTGTAGGTTTTAAGTCTGACCTTTAAGGTTCCTCAAATGAATATGAATTGCTGGTGTGGAGGAAGTAGGCAAATACAATAACGGATAAATAAGAGGATCTCAGGCCTGACCTTTTCTGCTGACCAGACCTGAATTTGTCAAATAAAAGCAAGAAATGGTTTCAAATGTCAGCTAGGGAATGAGGTCAACCAAACAAACTGTGTTTGTTGGCTTATTCTTGGCAGAATATTTAAAAATTCAATAGCCCAGCTACTTAATGATATTAGATGAGTCATAAGAACAGTGTTCAGAGAGACAGATTCCAGCACGGATGACCTAGCCGTTGGCTTTTCAATCAGTCAAGTAGGAAAGTCGAGTTATGGTTTTAGTGGAGGCTTTTCAGATGGTAACAACAGTGATTAGTATTCATGTCAAAGTAGCTGCTCATTTCACAGAGCTGTCAGCACCTCTGATGGTTCATCATGACCTACTTTTCCCCAGTATGTCTCCCTAGCAGTCTGTCGAACTGTCTGTCGTCTCGCTGACAGTGATGATGTTGATGAACAAGAAACACAAAGAGAGAGACGAGCGGGTCGGAACTTTCCCGTGGCTTCTGCACACAAACAAACTTTCGGAAAAGGTGATGAAGAGGTTGCTTATGAAGTCAAAAAGTTGAGCTGTTGAGGATAATGACGTGTTATGATCTCTCCGATGCAGCATGATAACCAAGCAGACAGAAATAGCTGCCATCGTTTACGCTGAATGTTAAATCTGCAGAGTTTCTCTTCATTAATGGCAAACTTTTAACACAAGGTTGCATTGCTGCCATAGTAATCAGTTACCTACTCAGTGCAGTTTCTGTACTCAAAATGAAACTATAGAATAAAATAATTAAATAAGGAATACTTTATTTTTAGCCAAAAGGGTGATGATGGTGAGTTCACAGATTTCTCAATAAAGTTTCCTCTACCAGAGTTATCTTAATGTAGTTTCAGATCCAGATAAGCTGCATATTATGGTTCCTCTTTCAAATCCTCAACATCCCTGTCTTTGTTCCCCTTTCCGCTGTAACCCTCCTCCAATGCCAGTCCCTCCCATCTCTAGTGGCCTGCACACAGCCTAATGAGCAGAATCAAACTCCTGCCCATTGTAAGATCCCGTCGTTAACGGTCTCCAATCAGGCAATTAGAAGAATGCATCTCTAATAGGCCTGCAGTAATTAACCACTGACGTCTTTATTTTGGGTAATAGAAGACCAGGATAAAAGTAATTGTATCCCTTTCTGGATTAGTTGGAATCCTGGCTCCAATAAGCCAATTAAATAGCAAACATGAGGAGAGGCTGAGGCATATTAGAATGACTTAATGGGGTGCGTATGTGCTTTTCGACTGCAGTATTTGATTAAGGCACTCTTGTTAATTTGCCATGCAAGATCTGCTCCCCCCACTCGGAACTCAGAGCCACTTAGGCCGAATCACAACAATTACAACAAGTCAACAACAAAACTGCTGAAGCCTTTCTAAAAGTACATTAGTAGTGATAAAATCTGACGGTAATCAAACGGAACTGTCAAAATGGATTTCAGAGGCACATTTCCCTCGACTCTGTCGGATTTTAGTGCTCAGTTAAATTTCCAATTCAACAACATTTGGACAATAATTCATCTCCATTTAGAGTTCACAAATAGCTTGAAGTTTACAAGCAAGGCACATCCAATCCTGTAAGCCCCATTTAAATCATGAGCAATAATCTGAGAAACCATTTCTGTCACTTGGGGCGAGAGCATACTTCTGAGAGTTATGACTGGTGCCGAATTAGACCATGAAGCAATGTGGCTAGTGAAAATAAACTAAACTACTGGCATCAGTGTCTTGCTGGAGCTGCACCAACATCTCCCCAGCTTGGTTTCACTAAAATGAGAGGCTTAAATGCAGAAAAAAGAGGGGGAACTTTATCATATTATAAACAAAAATATATAACTTGCACTGCAGCCACACACTGTATGAAAACTCTGAAACTCTGCTGGCAGTGCTCAGGGACCTCCGCCAAACATATTAGAGCAGCTTGCGACTGCATTTCCCCAGAGCGAGTTGCATTTAGGCTGCGCTGCTGCCCTCACTTGCCACACTATTCCCTGAAGCTCGCTGCTACGGCCTCGCTGCCAGCTTTCAACCAAACATCTGCTCCCTTCAACAGAAAAAAAAGGAGCAAAAAGGGAAAGAGAGGAGGCAAGTCACCTCAGCAGTGATTCATTTCACAACCAACTGCTCATCAATTCATATAAAGATAGTGAAGTGATGAAAATGACATGGAGTCTGGCAGTAAAGCCACCACAATGGTTGACTAAGATATACAACTGCTCCAGTATCAAAGGCCTGTCTGAGTCTGTAAACAAACCAACCTCAGCTGGAAGCCGGCTGATTGCTGAATCTTAATATTTTTAACCACAAGACCGAGATGATGTAACCTGAGAGCATCCAACCACATACTCTGTTTTCAAGACACGGTTGATCTGTGTTTGCTTTTGGCCTGCTCAGTTGAACAAAGCCCAAAGGCAAATAGAGATTTTCTAATATATTTTGTTTAATATTTTAGGTTGTTTCCCTTAACCTATTGTTTACTCTGGAGAAAATAAACACATACAGATGATGATATGACCCTTTGTCTCAATGAGGAGCAAAGGGCGTGACAGAGTGGAAAATGAGTAATAGATGCAGGAATAGAAAGAGAGACAGGTGTGATTTGCATCTGCTCTCTGCCTTAAAGCACAAACAATTTTATGGTTGTCTCATCAGCTGCGTGATGAGCAAAATAGTAAAACTGTATGTTTGTGTCTATTGAACTGTAAGTGCAGTTAAATGCAAAACACTGCTGGATCTGGTTTGTGGAGAATCTGCCAGCCTGATCTTGCTTTAACCACATCAGACTTTCTTTCTGATGGCAATTTAAATGTATTTAATAAGAATAGTTTATTTACATGTTACAGATTATTCTGTTGTTTCTGCTCCAAGTATTTAGTGTGCTCTAGCTGATAAAAATCACCAATTGGCATCTCAGTGATGCTATACCAGAAACAGACGTTGCTCAGAGACGTCTATTCTGAGACACTTTTTTCACCAGCAACTCGCTTTGTGCTGCCTCACTTAAACCTATGAAGGAATGTGCCTCTCCTCACCTGTGCATTGTGACCTCTGCACTGGGCACCAAAATACCAGGAAAAGCAGATTTTAAGATCAGACAAACTCTGATGAAAATTCTGAAAAATGTCCACTTTAACAACCATGCAGTCATGTGTGCTGTTTCTTACCTTTCTTCAGCTGGATATTGAACCTGCGGCCTTTGTTCTTCAGGTAGGAGCTGGTGGACGGGTTTGTGCTTACCCTGCGCTGCAGGGAGGGAGAGGGGGCTGACGAGGTCCTGGAGACCAAGTTGTGGGGTAATGTGGCGTACCGTCGACTTGGCTCTGGAGTGCTTCCTGCCAGGGGTCCCTGATGGCTACAGAGCAAGACAACGATCAAGCTTTGATTTGATTTTTTACCTACACAAAGAGACCATTTGTAACATTTCCAGCATGCTGATTTGGTATTTTTGGCATTCAATTCAATTAAGCAATAACTAATCAACAAGAAACAGAACAAGAAAACATTTTTTCATCATCATATTGCAAAACATCATATTTAGAACAACTTTTGGGCCACTATTGGAAATAATGATTGTAGCAGCTTAGGACAGACATGTAGGCCTGACCCTGCCTGCTCCATGGATCGATTGGTTGATGAAAATGCACTTGTCCAGTCAATAAATTACTGGTTGACAAATTGCTTGTGGGTTTTTTTTGTGAAAGTTCTGATATTGTGCTCTGATAATTGGATTCATCCATTCTGTCTGTCTCTTGTCAATGTAATCTCTTTTTTTTCCCTTTACTTTGAGCTACTAATAATTGCTGTTGAGCATACACTTATATAGCATCATCTGTCAGTCTGCTCTGTAATTACAATGTAGAGTAAGATGCACAGTAATGTTCCAACGTTATCTCTATGCAGTAGGCAATATTGAAAAATTGAATAAATGCAACAGACAGAGAATGGATAGAGGATTTATGAATATATATCATTGAAATTACTATAAACCTGAGGACAAGGGCCTATTTGATAACACCCACATGTTTAGCTTTTTGGAATTAGGCCAAAGACATTACATAAAGGAATAGTAACCCCAGGCAGATAAAATGGGCTTTTAACAAGATGATCAGCGATTGAGACTTGGAGATCTCAGGTAGAAATTAGTATTAAACTGCGCTCTCGCCTTTTATTGTGCAGCTTTTAAACTTTGATGGATTCACAGTGAACATTTTAAGGAAAAATCATTGACTGGTGTAATTAAAACAGACTTGAATTCATTGGAAACTGTGCAGCCTGTGCATGTGCACAAACATGAACCTTTGTTATTTTCCCAATCAACTGATTGGACAGCAATGTGACTTTTATTTAATGCTACTGTATGTCTCACTTTCATCTGTACAGGTTGTTTTAGCAACATGTTTGCTGCATACGGATAGGCAGTGTGACTTTTCTAGAGAAATAAAAATGAGGTCAAACCTACTTGTGGTTGAGGCCTGGTTCTGGTCCAGACCTGGACATCAGCCCCCCCACCAGGCTGGACCTGTCCCCTGGCAGCTGAGAATCTTGGCTAAAGCGGACTCTGTTGGACTGTGGAGGGCTGAGCTCACTCTGGGCCGCAAGCAGCTCGTACTGCCTCTTCATAGCTGCGGGGACTACATGGAAGAGGATGACCGGGCATCGCATTGCCTGTCTGAAAATGTTCTGGGCTCTGGAGGTGATACAGAGAGAGTGCGAGAGAGAGTGGGGAGGTCATGCAGACAGAAAGGAATTAGCTTTAACATGATAAGCGATACAATACTGTACTATCATAGCTTGACAGATATAGAAAGATAAGGGAGGTTATGTATATGTTGAGAGGTAATAGAGAGAGTTGAGGCTAGCACTGCTAATCGGGCAGCTCACCACATAGTAGCAGTGGACAGAAATTACATTATCTATAATTACCAGCATCAAGACAGGAAAGAGATAAGCATGGTGAGTCAGTGATGGAACGTTATATATTTTGTATATAATGCCAGTGAACCATATAGTATGGTGAGTATCTAAGTCTCACTACAGGATAGTAGTAGTCTGTGTGTTTGTGTATGACTGTGTGTGGTTAGAAATGAATGGACATGAGTTGACTCCACAAACAGAACAGAGAGGATGAATCATGCATCAAGGAAGCTTTCCAGACAATGAGATTCCAAAGTAAGCAGACACACACTTCATTCCTTACACAAAATAAGAATAAAAAAGCCAAAACACACACTGAGTCTCATGCGAGTTTTGGGGCCAAATAAGCCAAGACAAGAGCTCAACATCATTCCCAGACGCAAGAATTGTTTAGTCTGGTTTTTGCCAGTGGCACTTAGCATATAGATAGACTGGCCAGGAGCAAGCCACACTGCAGCATAAGGGGCCAGAGGCACGGTGGATGTCTGGATTCCAACAATCCCACCTCCTGTTTCCAGACCCCCATTATCACGCCAGTAATACCGTGCTGATTCTATCCAAATGACAGCCGCTAACCTGCTTCCACCACAACAGACAGCACTTCATTCAAGCTGTGTCACAGAGGCGAGGCACGCATGCCGTACCAAGCCACTTCTGCAGGATTTGGATTCCCATCTTTATTCCTATGGTAATTCACAAAAATCACTCACATGTGCACA